GTGGATTTGGGCAAGTTACTTAGCCTCTCTGTGTCTCAGTTTTCTCATCTGTAAAACTAAGATAATGATAATATCTACCTCACAGGCTTGTGGTTGGTGTGAGCAGGAAGCGGGTTACTATCTCTGAAGCACTCAGGACAGTCCCTGCTGCAAAGCCCACCGGGCAGGAGAGGGGGCAGTGGCTGTCACTTGTTTCACTGATTCAGAGGTCTCTTGTGTCCCATCCAGTCAGCACAGGAGCACACTTTGCACATGACGCTGGTGACATTTTGTTTCGAGAAATTCTATGTGGCCTTTTAAAATTCTGAGCATTTCTGCGAGAGCATCTGGGAAGTACTAGCTTCCTTTTCTGCACAGATGGGAGAAGGACAATCTGGAAGTTGTGATGAAAAGTTGTGCAGTAAACTTGGTAATGTGGTCCTGTGTGAGGGAGCGCAGGGAGGAAGGCCAGTGGGGTTGAGCTCGGAAATCCTCTTCCTGGGTCGCCTCATGCACAGACGAATCCCTTCCAGCAACTCTGCTGTTTGCCTTGAACCATTATGGCCACAGCCTTCGCTAGGGCCCAAGTCAGGGACCAAGGCCCAGCGGGACTCCCCATTTCCAGTAAGACCTGGGCTATATCTTCCCAGAAGATATTCCAGGTCGGACACACAACATGAGTTTGAAAGACGAGAGTCTCAGCCCTGGTTTTTTTTTTTTTTTTTTTTCCCTGTTCTGAGTGCCCTCGTCCAGTTCACTGAGCCTCTTTGTCCTGTGTCTTATCCACACAATGAAGTGGTTGGATTGTGGACAAGGTCATTTCAAGATTCTGGGCTTTCTGTCCACTGTCATGCTTTTTATCAGTATATGACCATTATTTACTTTTCTTTCAGTCCACTATAAATGTACTTATTTAAAGATTAGGGATGCCTGCATGGTGTGGTGGCTGAGTTGTCTGCCTTTGGCTCAGGTTGTGATCCCGGGGTCTTGGGACTGAGTCCCACATCGGGCTCCCTGCGGGGAGTCTGCTTCTCCCTCTGCCTGTGTCTCTGCTGCTCTCTCTGTGTCTCTCATGAATAAATAAATAAAAACCAAAAAAAAAAAAAGAAAAATAAACATTAGCATCACATTGAAGTGTTCATGATAAATACGCATGTGTGTTTTCATATATATGTCATGTGATAAATTAAAAATTATTATTAAAATAAGGAAGGTTCTTTTTTTTAAAAAAGATTTTATTTATTTATTCATGAGAGACGTAGAAAGAGGCAGAGACATAGGCGGAGGGAGAAGCAGGCGCCCTGCAGGGAGCCCGATATGGGACTCGATCCCAGGATCCTGGAATCACAACCGGAGCCAAAGGCAGATGCTCAACCACTGAGCCATGCAGGTGCCCCAAGGAAGGTTCTTCTGTGCAGCTCCAGTAGCAAATTACACCTCCTCATGGTGCATACACCATGCTATTTTGGGGAGCTCTACTGAAGTAGAGAGAGAACGTTAAGTCTTCCCCCGGTGTGGAACTCTGGGGAGATTTGACCCCCCAATGGACTGTGATCACAGCATATAGGAAGCAAAAGAAAGAGCCTTGTGGCTTCTGACAGCAGTTGCTGTTTTGATGAGAGTTTGGGGCTTTTAGGTGAGTGCAGGCATCAATTTGTTAAACTTGGTGGTTAAATTAAGAGACAAGAGAGTGAGTGAGGTCACAATGTCACCTGCTCTCTTCCTTGGTTTGGTCACCGAATCCGGTGAGGTAGCTGGTCCCATCCTTTAAAGAGCTCCTCCCTGAGGATAAGCAGTTGTTTCTGTGCTTCATCAGAGGAAAGGTTGTCACGTCAAGATTTGATTGACAGAAGCTTGGCACACTGAACATTTTCTTCAGCAGGGGAAGAAAATGCCCTGATAGAGAATGTTTGAGTCAACAATGTGTGTTGACTTTTTCTAGTACAAACTCCAAGCCCATCTCTTGAATCCTGAGTCAGACCTTAATGTTTAACCCCAGCTGTCTCCCCTATTAAGAAAGCTGCTAATATTTGCAAACTTCAATTTGTAAAAAGTTCATTGGACTGACTTAGGATGACGTCAGCAATCTTGAATGCGTGTGTTGTACCCTACGGTGTTCTCAGCACTTTCACATACATCCCGAGTCTCTGAACAGCTTAGGGGAGGGAACGGGGCAGGAATCCTTGCAGATGAGTGAGCCAGTGGCCAGAGGGAGCACAAGGAAAACAGTGCCCTTGAGCTTTCACTGGATCCATTGACATGAAGCCCAAAGCTTCTTGTCAGTCGCAAAGCTTCCGCATGGTGATCTGAGTTTAAACTCCAGATTGTGATTATCATAAATGTGGTTTTGGACTTAATTTTTTTTTATCACATCCGTAAGAGGAAGGTTATGGGAACATTCTGTAATGTGGCAGTTTGCTTAGGAAGTGTTTCCATTCTGGGCGTTCTCAATGTGTGGATCACCAACCACCTGCGTCAGGATCACCTGGGTGCCATTCCACACCCGCTGACTTGGCACCACTGGGGATGGGCTTGGGATCTGCATGTGTAACAGGCATTCCAGGTGATGCTGGGATTTTGCTCTCTGTGTAGCAGCGGATAACTTGTATTACTCTCTGGATGTGAAGACATTGGCTTGTTTTAAAGCTTGACTTCTGGGATCCCTGGGTGGCGCAGCGGTTTGGCGCCTGCCTTTGGCCCAGGGTGCGATTCTGGAGACCCGGGATCGAGTCCCACGTCGGGCTCCCAGTGCGTGGAGCCTGCCTATGTCCTTCTGCCTATGTCTCTGCTTCTCTCTCTCTCTCTCTCTCTCTCTCTCTCTGTGTGTGTGTGTGTGACTATCGTTAATAAATCAAAATTAAAAAAAAAAAAGCTTGACTTCTGGAGGTGCTAGAGTGGTTCAGTTAGTTAAGCATCCAACTCTTGGTTTTGGCTCAGGTCATGATCTCAGGGTTGTGAGATCCAACCCTACCCCAGACTCTGTGCTCAGCATGGAGTCTCCCCATCCCTCTCCCTCTGCTTCTTCCCCCATGCGTGTGTGCTCTCTTTCTCTTTCTCTCTCTTTCAAATTGATAAATAAATAAATAAAAAGAAAATCTTAAAACTCCAATTCTGGGGCCGAGGAGGGGTGTTATGGGGAGAGTAGAATCCTGTCCCCACCACCTCCACCTTTCCTGGAGAATTCTTTTCCTATTTCTGTCTGTCACAAATTATCTCAGAAAAATGGTGGGTGATGTGAAGCTCCATCCATCCTCCCTCCCTCCCTCCCTCCCTCCCTCCCTCCCTCCCTCCCTCCCTTCCTCCCTCTGTCCCTCCCTCCATTCATCTGATGTACCCAATATGTGCCAGGTGCTTGGAATATAAGAAAAATAAGACACAGTCCTTGACCTTGAGGGGATTAAGTTTAGTTTAGATAGTAGCAGATGTGTAAGAAGAACTGGAAGTGACAGCCACCAATTTCACAAACATTTAAGGTGGCAATGAACAGGAGATGTTTTTTTTTAAAAAAAGGAAATTAAAAAAAAAACATTGCAGGGAATGCAGAGAAGCTTTGCATGAAGAGCAGAAGACAAGTATCTTTTTATATTACGTAATTCTTCAAAGCACAGAGGTCTCTGAATTTTGGCACATGCTTTGAGATCAGTCCATGTATTATTTTTCAGTGTGATCCTTACTTGCCCATGAGTCAGAATCCAGGTGGTTGATGATTGTAGAAACTGGAGCATTAGTGATCATCTCTAACCATTCCTGCAAGGTACTCTGAACATTTAACTTTGACCCAGGATTATCAAATCATGATTTCAAGGTCAATTTTCATGGATGACTTTAAGGAATAACACCCAAGAACTGTTTTCCCACTATAACCTATGATTCCAAAAAGCTGGAAAGGCTGTTGTTTTATAAACTCTATCTTCCTTCATAGAAAGTCTACTGTTTCAGTATTTTCTGATGACTCTCATTTAATAAAATACCATTTGTTCACAATGAGAGTCCAACCAAGCACTCAGGATTGAGTGACAGATTTTATTGAGTAGCAATTCACATTTGAACAGATCAACTTAAATGTGGTTTGACCTCAGCCTTGTTCAGGAGGGGAAGTGCAATGGTGGGTAAGAGCTCCCTTCAAGACCTCCTGGTAGTTCCCACAAACCCTTGGCTGGGCAGTGCTGTCCAACAGGGCAATGCTGTGATGAGGGCAATGCTCTATGCCTGTGGGAATCAAGCACTTGAAACATGATCAGTGCAACTGAGTTGAGTATTTAATGGTATATAATTTTGGTTAATTTAATTTGAATTTAGATAATCGTGTAAAGTGTGCTGGACAGCTCTTCCTAAGACAGGATTGCCCTACATCAGTATAGCTTTCTCTTCTCCCTTTCACTCCCTGCTGGCACTTGCCTATCTGTTCTCTTTCCCAACTCCATGACTACTGGATACAACAAGAGGGCAAAGCGGATCCTAAGGCTGGTGGCTCTTGAAAACCATGGAAAGCAGCAATTATCAGATGAGAAATGAGTTCTGTGGGTGTGGTGTGAGTAGGCGTGACACTTCTTCAGTGTGTCCTCAGTTTTTCTGGACTCTGGACCCTTGATGGGTGGGAACACGGGAGGGAGAACCAAATGCTAGTCTTTGCAGTCTTGACCAGCAGTAGCTGCTCAGTAAGTATTCTTTGGCTCAATAAAGCATGTTAAGAGTGTGGTGATTTCTACTGCAACCAGGGAGCTGTTGCCCCTTGCTGTCTACTCCCCGTCTAGGAATGATAGAGGTGCTAACCAATGAATACTGGGGCTGTGTTGCTCAGTGGTATTTATTGGCAGCAGTAAGTATTGTAATGGAAGATCCTATAGAGTACTGGACATCTGTACATATTGAAGAGAAGTTGGCCTATGACACCCAGCTGTAATGGGTGGAATTGTTATAATATTATCAGAAAATAAAATTTAACTGAATTTTGATTACGTGCCCTACACAGTAGCAAGCACCACTAACTACAATTTTTTTTTCTTCTCTCAACCTTATAGGTAGCATTGATAAACCAGGTACATCATTGCCTACCTGGGTCATAGTTCTGCTTGCAGTATCATTGTCATTGCTTTTGATCCTGATAATTATTCTGATTATAATATTCTGTTGTTGTTGTGTCTCCGGGAAAGAGAAAAAAGGTAATTTTTTTTGTTCATATAGATTCATATATATTTTTGAACTTTTGGCACAAGCACTTGAATTTCATTAGTTCCTCAGCTCTTCCGTAAGGTGCATTGGCCTTCACAGTGTACTTTACCTGAAACTGGACATGTGAGCTTCAGAGAATGAAAGGACTTCCTAAAGAAGGGATACATTCCTTTTGGGGGCATACTGAGATCTTCACACTTTTGGGAAGGTGAAGAGACAGCACCTTTCTCAGCGAAGACACTGACTATTTGAGTTTTGTGCATATTTGTGAGGTTGTAAGGGCATTGTAATCTGCCATTCAGATGCTATGCTTTTTTTTTTAGAATATTGACTACCTGTCTGAGCACATTAAAACATTATTTCCTATTTTGTGTAATTCCAAATTGCCTTTTGTAGGCAAAATGCTGTAGAGGTAGGAAAAAAAGGTCTTCTGTCAGTAAAAATAGAATAGATAAATTAATAAAGATGATAACACATTTCTTCTGAATGATGTCTTTAGAGATACTCAAAAGCAGTGGCCTTGTTTGGGAGCCAGGCTAACATTGGGGTGGGCTTGCTGTAGAATTGAGCCGTTTGTGACTCTAAAAACCAAGGATCTTTGTCATGTAGTTGGCTCAGGACTTTCCAAGTGCTGAATGTGTGTCCAGCCTTACTTTTCTTTGTCTCATAAAACCTCACTTATGCCTATTTGAATATTTTCTACAGTTAAATAATTTTTCTTAAAATCAGACTTCTGATATTAGGCTACATGTCAGTTTAATTGCATTTAAAATTTTGTTAATACTAATTGCCCTTTGATGAGCACTTTTGTGGCTGTGCCAGGCACCGTGTTTATTATCCTACAGGGAATATCTCTCTTGGTGAGATATTCTGTGTAAAGTGCATAGTTAAGCCGTATCTAGGCTAATTGTCTAGCCTTAGCCCCTGCATGGATTTGGTTTGGGATTGGGAATTAATTCCATGATACAACTTTATTCCCTAGGCAACAGCACATGAAAAGTAGTAAGCTTCTGTTGGCCCATATTTGGTGGGAATTTGCTTTTACCTGGGAGTTACCCTATATGCCACAGATGGGTTACTCAAGCAAAATACACTGGATTTTAAATGAAAACTAGTGGATAATTTAAATTTTAATTTAGAAGTGACTAGGATTGTTCAGTGCCTTCAGATTAATTGTTTTCAATATTATCTGTTGTGGTGTCATTGGAGGACATTCTGATTATTTGGATTTCTGCTTCTCTAGCCTGGTAAGAAGGCTTGATGGTTGGTGGTCCATGTAAGATGTACACCAGAGTGACTCTGATTCTTAGCATCCTCATTTACAAGATGAGAATAAGTACCATCCTATAGATTGGTTGTGAGGATAAAATAATATTTTGTATTTAACATTGATATGTGAAACTTCCACCCTAGATTTTATCCTCTATTTAACTTTGAGATGAAAAGCTCATAAAAGAGTAAGCTGTTTTTATTGCCCTGGTTTGTAACAGGCCCAGGTAGGTGCTATGAGCAGGGCCTGTGACACCTCTCTCACAAATGCCACCCCATTAGGTGGAATTCACAATGGACAGTGCACTTCACCTTGACATAAATGTAAAGGATGCAGAGAGGTCCTAGATTTCCCCATGACAATTATTTCCATGCTTAAAAATAATACACATCAAGTTTCTTCAGAAATATTTTCTGGCACTTTGCTTTACTGGTGCCTGGAAAATTCTCAGTGCTCTGACTGGTTAACTGGGCACTGACCCCACTCAGTGTGGCCTGAGGGCCTTGGGATTGCTTGTGCTAATAGAACAGAGAAACCAAGCTCCCATCTCCTGGAGTCCATCTTTTATGGGAACACTAGTGATATACCAGACTTTCAATTCAAGTAAGATTGCTTCTGAGGTTCATTTGGGATGTGAATTGGCAGATGTTACTACAACTGAAAGTAAGTGAGAACATTATCTAAAGATAAGGAAGGTGAAAACCTTTTAGATCTCAGTAGAGTTGGATGAATAGGAGGTCTAGACAGGACAGCAGAGTTGCAAAGAACACTGGCTTTTGAGACAGATGATTGGAGACTGGTTTGTGGCTCTGTTACTATTTCAGGTTCTAAGTTCCCTTTAGTCTAAGAATCCACTGATTAAAAACATTAGTACTTTAATGACAGCTTCTGGGGGTGAATGCAACTCTGTGCATTGATACCATTGCTACATGTTGATTGAAAAGATATCTTAGAATTAAGGAAATGCAGTGCTTAAGTGATGTAATTCCTTATTTGTTAAAGTATAGTAATAAAATATAATAGTGTCTAGTTTGTTAAAAATATGATGACACTAACACCTACCTCTTGGGTGGTTGTAATGATTAAATGAAATAATATTTTGCACTGTGCTGGCACACAGTGAATACTGAGTGAATGGCAGTAGGGATTGGGAATGCAGAATGCCTCCTCCTGGTGAATGGAGTCTTTGTATCTCGCTAGTCAAATTCAATACTCATTAAATACTTATTAGGTACCTGCTATACTTCAGGTTTAGTAATGATATGATAGTTAATAGTGAATTCTACTTTCCTTATGCTTGAGAGTCATTTGGTAATTCAGTATGGGGGAATTTAATAATACTGAATGATCACAAATACTCAGCAATGTATTTAAAATCAGGGGTCTATAAAATTGATTAGATTTTATTTTCAGAATAATTATCCTGATTTTGCTAATGTGATTTTGTTCCCCTTCCCCCCCTTTTTTCCAGAATCTAGTTATCAAAGTCAAATAAGGTAAGTTTGAAATCACGTCAATTTTCTGAAAACAAAACCAAAAAACTGAAAAACAACCAAGCAACACCAACCCTACCACCATTAACACACACAACTGTGGGGTTTCAGAATTGTGTTAATCAAAATTAAGTACTGAAAATGGACAACTCTGAAAAACACGTATGCCAAATACAAAATCATATGGTAAAATCAATTGTTAAATAAAATAGGTGATGGAGCTCCTGTCTACATTTGACTTGCCCTGGCTCACTTAGGAAAGTAGATTTTCTGCTTGGTGTCTGGCATTTGCAACTCTTTCCACAAGAGGACAGTATGCACCGTGACTGTTGTCCCTCCTGTTTTCAGTCCATCTAGGGGACTTGAGGACCATTTTAAGAATAATAAAGAACCAGGCGGAGGTCCTGCTGGAATTTCTGGGGCAGTGGAGAGCAGTGAGGAAGCCAGCTGGATGGCTGCCGGCACATGAAAGCTGACCAGGCAGACAAATTAGGTAGCGTTTACTGCTTGTACCACTAATGGGGGAGGGGACAGAAAAATCCTTGCCATTCCCACAGCTGTCCAGAAGTAGCTGCAAGCAATTTTAAGGTAGCTACTATGTCAAGGACCTACAATAATACAATAACCAGCTGAAACGTCTGCAATATTTACACAAGTATAAATGAACTAAAGGGAGGGATTTTTAGACAGCAGTGATTTTGCTGGAGGTGTTATAACAAAACCATATCTAATTTTCAGTATTTTATTAGACAATTATAGTTTTTGAAATGCTGTGATTTTAAAATACCCTTTGGCTACACGTGGTGAATGAAGATGTGTGTCATCATTGTGTAACAGACACTAGCTATTTTCCCTTTGACCCCAATCGCTCAATGGTGATAATGTGGTGTTAGGAGAGGTGGCTGTGGTCTCTCTGAGGACACCATGAAGCAGCAGTCTGAAACTACAACTCCTTTGGGGCCTGACTTAGGGCAAGAGGAGAGGAAGGCAAATGGACTCCAGTAATTGTTCTGGCATTTCTCTTGATTGCTGTCATCAGAAGGAGGGCAGCTTGGATTCTTCTGTTCACCATTATTGACTTCACAACATCTTTTATTTCTATTTTCTAGGATCTTAGATGATTTCAAAACATAGTATAGTGGTCAACAGCTATTTGGGGTCAAGTAGAGAATAAGAGGAATAATGACAAGAGCAGCAATAATATGACAGTAGCGATGACAATAGCTAGTATCCGCTGGGTGCCGAACATACATTAGGCCTGGGAAGGAAAGACAGGGTGACTCACTGGGACCCCTGTACCCTACCTGCTTTCCCTGCACTGTGCTGGCTGTGCAAACTCCAGCTGCTCCCAGGTTTCTTCTGCAGTAAAATGACATACGTATGTCTTCCTATAGAATCAATGCATGTTTATTATAGAAAAAAAATTAAAAATATACTTTTAGGAAATGATTTTGAGGGACCTCTGGGTGGTAGAGTCAATTGTGTCCAACTCTTGATTTCTGCTCAAGTTGTGATCTTAGGGTCTTGAGTGAGCCCCAGATTGGGCTCTGTGCTCAGTGAGGAGTTTGCTTGATACTCTCTCTCCCTCTATCCCATCTTCCCTAAAAATAAGTGAATAAATCTTTAAGAAAAATAGAAATGATTTTGAAATCTCCCCTAATTCTATTGTTTAGAAGCAGGTATTATTGGGATCCCTGGGTGGCGCAGCGGTTTAGCGCCTGCCTTTGGCCCAGGGCGCGATCCTGGAGACCCGGGATCGAATCCCACATCGGGCTCCCGTTGCATGGAGCCTGCTTCTCCCTCTGCCTGTGTCTCTGCCTCTCTCTCTCTCTGTGACTATCATAAATAAATAAAAATTAAAAAAAAGAAGCAGGTATTATTATAGAAGTATGTGTCTTCTCACACACATATGCATTCACATAGATACACACACATGCATTTTGTGTCACATAGATACGCACACATGGATTTTGTGAAATTTGGATCATAGTAAATGTTATTTCACAGCTTGCTTTCTCATTTGGCACTATTCTGAAGATCATTTCTGTTAACAAATTTCTATAATAAATAAATTTCTGTTAATGAAACAAAATATTTGTTTCATTAGCTTAATAAAAATACCTTATTGAAGTATAATGTAAATCCAGAGAAGTACACAAATCATAGGTGTATAGCTTGGTTACTTTTCACAAAGCATATGGACCTTGAGTGGGGACATGCAGAACTAGAACATTCCTAGCACCCCAATCTCCCCATGCCTCTCAAATCCTGTCTGCCCCTTCCTTAGGGTCATGTCTTTTTAAAGTTTTTTTTTTATTATTGTTACTAAAAAATTTTTTTTAGAGGGAGAGTGAGAGAGAGGGACCAGGGAGGGGCAGAGAAAGAGGGAGAGAGAGACTCTTAAGCAGGCTCCTTGCCCAACACAGAGCCAAACTCAGGATCTCACAACCCTGAGCCCAAATCAGGAGTCGGATGCTTAAGTGACTGATCACCCAGGCATCCCAAAGGTTATATCTTCTGACCTCTGTCTCTCCCCACATCCCCAGAGATTAGATTTTAGATTCATACAAACTTTATATAAATGGAATCATATCATATATACTCATTCATTTTGGTTTTCTTAAGTGTCACACTGTGAGATTGGTCCATATTGTTCAATGAAGATGTAGATGGTTTATCGTATAATACCACACTCTGGGTATATATGCAACTTATTTTTCCCTTAAATGGGCATTTGGGATAGTTTTGGGGGTCATTATGAATTCTCTGGCACTAAGCAATTTGATATGTATCTTTGGTGACAAGTTCATAAGTACTCCTTCCTGTTTGTAGTAGGTTAGGTGTATATCTACCAGTGAGGTCTGCGTAGTAGAGTCAGAGTAGGTAGGGCAGACAGCATTGCCATACAGTTTTCTGAAGTGGGTGTGTTGGTTTATACTTTCACCAGCAGTGCATGAGAGCTCTCACCTGTAATAATTTTTACAGGTGGCATGGAATTTCATTTTGAAGATGTATTGTCATGTATTTCACTAGTCCTCAGTGGTGAGGCACTAGGTCGTTTGCAGTATTTGCTGTTATCAATAGCTCATGAATGAACATTCTTTCAAGTAAATCTTCACACATACCTTTGGTTATTTCCTTATAATAAGTTTTCAGTGGTCATACATGAATATTATTAAATCTTTGTATATCCATTGTCAAGTTTTCTTCTCCTGGGGTATTGCACACATTTTTATTGTATTTCAGAGATTGGCACACATTTTCTATAAAGGGCCAGATAGTAAATATTTTGCTTTTGCAAGCCACGCACTCTCTATCACAATGACTCAGTTCTGTTGATAGCTATAAATAAAATGGAAGTAGACAGGTGTGGCTGTGTTCCAATAAAACTATTTATAAAAATAGGTGGTGTATTTGCCATGTAGGTCTTAGTTTGCCAACCCTGTTTAATTTGGTCACTGGCTTCTGAGGATTGATTATTGACTGGGGAATGGAGTCCATGGGGCTATCATGATGAAGTTCCATCTCTCCCCACCTCAATGGGAGCATGAGAGACAGATCAATCACACAGTCGTGCTGGTGGCTCTGAGTGTCTTTCCTGATGCTGTGGTAAGTTCAGCAGGCACGAATGCTCTGGGTGGAGCAGTGTGAACTGAACGTCCACTGCTGATTAACATTTGGCTTTTTAAAATGGTCTAATTCCAGGAACTCTGCAAGTGTGAAGACAAAAAAAGAAACTTCTGAGATAAACTTAAAAGGCGGGAGTGAAAACAATGCCTATAGCCTAGATGAACCGAGGACAGCAAGTGAGTGGGCATGTGGGGCAGTCAGAAGACCTGGGCATGTGCAAGAGGGGCTGGCTGCACCATGCAGGGGACTCAGCCCTTGTGGGTCATTATTTTTTGAGTAACTTTCAGAAGAAGGAAAAATATCAGGACTATAAGTATTCTAGGAGCAGAGAAACAGTAAAAAACCCACCCATTTGTCCAAAGTTTAAAGTAAAGTGGGATGAAAATTTAAAGGCTTTTAAAATAAATTTTCTGGTTTCTTTTTTTTTTCATGCTTTCTCTTTTGTAAAAGCATTAAAATTAAAAGGCATTTTAATACATTGAGGGTCACTTGCCCCAAATGTCAAATAAAACTGAAACTCAAGGAGAAATCTGTTCCTACTGAGCTCTAGAGGGTGTGGGAGAAGCAAAAAAGGAAACCCAACTTTGAAAAGTCTTTGTAGCACCCGAACATCTTCCCTTTCGAGGACACAGTCCTCGTGAGGGCATCTTGGATGGCTTGGCCACCAGCAAGCGGCAGGGGTAGGATTTGATCTAAGATCCTTCTGGAAGGCAGATGAGAGAGGAAGGGAGTACACGTGGGTAGGAGAGGGAGACCCGGCCCTTACAAGTTGCCTGGCAAAACAAATTCCATGGAAAGGTGTTTCATTAGTTAGTTCTTGCTGAGAGGCTCTCCCTCAAATTGTTCTCACTAAGATTGGGGCTTCCCTCCATGGTCATCTCTCCTCTTTCACCATGGGCACCTTCCATGTCCATTCCAAATGGCTCACTTCATGGGGGATCCCTGGGTGGGGCAGCGGTTTGGCGCCTGCCTTTGGCCCAGGGCGCGATCCTGGAGACCCGGGATCGAGTCCCACTTTGGGCTCCCGGTGCATGGAGCCTGCTTCTCCCTCTGCCTGTGTCTCTGCCTCTCTCTCTCCTTCTCTCTGTGATGACTATCATAAATAAACAAAACAAAACAAAACAAAACAAAACAAAAACAAATGGCTCACTTCAGATTCCACAAAGCATGACCGTGTCCTTTCACATTCTGACCACAGCTTACAAAATATCCTATGGGCAAATGTTTATTTATTAGTGTTTCAAGCAATTAATCAAGTAGCTTGACCAGAATCATGGCCCAAACCAAACCTCTCTGTCTTTTTTATCCTCTTGTGTTCTATGTTTATTTTCCCTTTATTTATTAAAGCTACGGATTCACCTTGTCTCTGGATGAGGCTAATGAGTCAAGGAAGGACTTGACTGTGAGTTTGGCATATTTTTATTTCATTAGAAAGGTAAGATTTGAAAAGTATATGACCTCAAGGGAACGCTAAAAACAAATCTGTCTATGGTTAAGGATTACTTTATGCTAGGGCTACTACCTAAGAGCCAATGTATTTCTTTATAAATCAGAATTGCTTGGATGTTATTTGGGTTTTGTCACTCACACTCTAAAATCATTCTTCTCTTGCAGAGCTTGCTTCTCTCCCGCCAGAGTCCTCCGAATCCAGTGCTCTGGAACAACACAGAAACAGGCAACCACATCAGGTGATTGAGAGTATTTTCCTATTTGGAGATTTTTTTTTTTTTAGCCATTTAAAAATCCTTGTCTGTTGGTAGGTGATTATAAAATAGTACTTGCTTTATGTTCAGGTTGGAAGAATGAGGCCTTTGCTCACTGGTCAACCTGCTAGCATGGAGGACATGTAGTGCCTCTTGCACAGAAGTGTAGGTGAGAGCTTTTAGATCTTGGGGTATCACTTACACGCCCACATAGAGATGTTGAGTGGGCAGTTAGATGTGAAGTCTGGAGTTCCAGCTAAGGAACACTAGTTGTAGATATTTTTGGTTGTTAGGCAAACTCTGGTGGTTTCCATCCTTCCAAAGAACATGAAGAACACAGTCACCCAGGACCTATGAGGACACGGCATGTTACTTTTGTGACACAAAGAAGTGTTGGTTGCCACAGATGAGTGAACTGCAGTGCATACACAGAAAATATGATTCTTTATATCCACCATTGTATTAGGCAAAATATGTATTTTCTGACCTCCACAATGGTACCTTCTAATGAGAAGCACTTTGATATGACTCTGTGATGCTGTCCTGATGTTTATGGATATCTTCCTCTTTAGCTCTTGGAAAAGGCTCACTGGCAGATTGGGTTCCTGACAGGACATGAGATCTGTGGTCTTGGCTGTGTTCTGCCTATGAGTCCCTATTAGTCTGAGGTGCTGCTGTGGGGAGTGTCTTCACAGACCCATCATTCTTTCTTGGGGGTAGATATTGACTTGGGTTGCTGGGCAGCTCCAGGCCATAATATTACTCCCCACAGTTGGGATTGAGCTTAATCCATATATCTTGTCAGTGATGTGTGCCTCCCAGGCCTTTGTTGGGGAGGCGAGCTTTGATTGATGCTCAGCCATGTGTCGGGGGATCTAACTGATGCCATTAGTGGAAAACAAGTGGTAGCCAGATAGTAAGACATATGAGGGGTCTATGGCACAAGAGAACATTGGCATAAGTGACAAATTGTTGGGTTCCTGGTACAAATTCAGGCTATGTCCTTAGGCTGGGTGTCAGGAAAATGGAGAGGTAAATTTCTTTCCATCACGGCTGCTCTCTTTGGCACATAAATCTTCTGATGCATTCAATCTGGCCCAGGGAGAGATAGCTAGGGAGGTGTAACAGGTTCTCTTTCAAGGGGCCATCTCTTGAGTTAGGGGTGACTGGCTAAAGGGAGTAATCACCAGGCTGTGAAGGATGTTTCCTGTCAAACCTCCACAACTGGACCTGAGTGGGAGCTGTGGGCTGATGGAAGAGTTCTTTTCACCCAGAACGAAGCATGGTCACCCAAGAACACATTTCCTCCAGCCCTTATTTCTGCGACTTTTCTATAGTTACCTTTTACTGTCACCTGTCTTTCCACCAGACAAGCCAAAATGCTTATGTCTGGAATTGGGGGCATGAGGTAGGCAGGGAGGGAGTCAGAAAAGATTATGTCAAATGATCCCCCCACTGAAGTAGAAATGAAGACAAAGGGGAACTCTAGATGCATTTGGATACAGGAATGGAGAATGATGTTTTGGAGCTCAGAGTAGATGATTCTTAGGCTTGCAGTGTTTTGAAAATATGCAGGGAGAGAAACTTAAGAAGTTTCTGCTACTTAAATATGTAACCAACTAAATAATCTATTGGTGGAAAAAGAACAGTGGCCTGAAGGTGCTGGGCCCTGGGGGATGGTCACCTGTGTTTCTTGAAGTGTCTGTCAGGCTTCTAGGGGAGGGTGCATCTCAGCCCAGAGCATTAGGGTCCCTATGAAACCAAACAAAATGTAAGGAAGAGGAGCTGCTTTTGCCTGGGCTAGAAACTGGCAGAGGGTGTATTCTTCTACTTAGAATGTGAGAGCTTTAGTGCAAGGACAGTTTTGAAGAGTTCCATCTCCGATCGTTAACCAAAGAGTGCCTCTCAGGTATGGGCCTAGGCCGTGTCTGCAGGTTGCCAGACAATCTGGACTCAAGATGTGGTCTACGCTTTCCATGAGCATGTAGTGAAGGGAGGGAGCAAGACAGATGGCAGAGGGAGTGGTCTGGCCTCAGAGGATACAGGCCTGCATGTGGGCAACTGGCCACTTGAGAGCTGCCAAGTGGCCAAGCCACTTCTTATAGAAGCAGGTCAAGGTGACCTGTGGCACAGAAGTCCCTTTTAGAACTTCTCAATGCCAGCCCTGCAGCCCTGCCTGGTCCATGGGGCCATGTTCTTGATGTACAGGTGGAGGAGGACCTTCCTCAGAGCTTGTTAGGACTTGGGGCAGGAATACTTGAACCTGTGCTTTCTTTTGTCCTAGCCTTTCTCCATCCTGTAGTGAGCTTTGACTGTTAACGGCCCAGGAGAGGCAGCTGGGAGCTTCTCAGACCCTCTTCATCTGTCTTTCATCTGGGCCTCCTCCCCACAGGCCTCAGTATGACTCTAGCCCATGACAGAGCCACCCATGCTGTTATGGGGTGTTTCCATTCACAGGGGCTCCTCTAGGACTTCTGCCCAAAAAGCTGGCTTGTTGGGAGTTTAGGATTGTTAACTCCAGACTACACAATTGTGCAGAAAATCTGCACTAGCCTCGGGTCCTGAAAAATCCTTAGCTCCAGCTGAGAGATTTCCAGCTGGGAGTCAGCCTTCAGCAAAGGCTTTTCCCATTCCCCATCGCCACGGAGCTGGTGGGGGCAGATGCACATCTTATCCATGGAGGCATGGCATACACATCAGCAGCCAAGGCTCCCATTTTGTATTAATAGATCTCACAGTGGGGTGATCTTGGCTTTGCCGACAGCACAGCTACTGTTGAGTACATGCTCTTGTTCTCTCTTCATGCTGGCTTTCTCGTCTGCTCAACCCGCTGGTCTTATTTTCGCTCAGCATTTTCAGATCTTAACTAATGGGTGGCCATGGACCACATGCAGTCCAGCACAGCATTCCCAGGTGCTCATTAAAAGTTATTTGTTGAAGTGCAGAATGTCTTCCATGTCTCACATTCTGGTGTCACAAGCAAGGAGATACAAGGAATGTATGTACAGTAGAGATGGTCCCCACGTGGATAATCACAATCTGGTCATGACAAGCAATATTATTACACTGGTATAAATTAGTATGTTTGTAAAAATATTATGTTTTGAGTCATTGAAGAAAAGTGAATAATTCCATGTCAGATTGCCACTTTAATACTTTGCAGTCTTGGGCACTTTGGTTTTCAAGGGTATCCTGTTCAAACACCATCCAAAGAAGGGGAAGCCTGAAAGGCCAAGGGCTGCATATAGGAATTGTCAATGTGGCCTTTAGGATGACCAGATTTTTTGGTCCTATCTGTGGACCACTTGGCTCAGTGGACTTGGGGAGCAGCCTGAGTGCATCTGAGTTTTAAGACAACACGAGGTGGTTGTCTAGGTGGCCGGGTCTAAGGGCAATTAGCTACCTTATAGCAAGATGGAAATGGGTGGCTGCTGGAAGGGACAGTAGGACATTGCCACCAACCAACTTGCCTATCTGCAAGTTGTATCTGCAAACCACCCATGGTTATGATTTGCTAGTGTCCCAGAGCATTCATAATACTCATGTTAAGTACACTGGGTAGGGGTTGTACTGGACTCTTTTCAGGGGTGGAGGGTGCTGTGCCCTTATTGGAATCATGTGGATCCCCTGCAAGTAGAGGAGGGTCCAGCCCTGAACCTTGAGTGTGCATCTGGCTTAGGGACCAGTGAAGTGCTCTGAGGAGCAGGCATTGTGTCAGGGTCATTCATATCTTCACCTTCAAGATCACAACTTTCAGCCCCACCCAGAGTCCCATGTCTGATCTCCAGGTTGTGGTGAGCCTCCATGCATTGCATCCTCAACATGAAGCACCAGCCATGATTTTAATTACATCCTACACCCAACAGTTACTAAGACAGGAAGCTGGAATTTTAATACTTAGGATGTGCTACAAACCCTATTTATTGCTGTGTCAGCTTCCATAACTCTTGCTCCATCAATATCCTTCTTATTGAGGTCCAGAACACCAGAGACCCACTGGCCTTGGGGAAGATCAGCCTGAGATGTCTTGACAAGCCTCTTTTTCAGATCTCTTGTTATGTCCAGATACTTTCAGTACTGACAGCCCTGAGAAAGCTTTGGAGGGGGGAGGGCTCTGCTCAGGGACAGGCTGACATGAGTCTGGTGTGTTGGTAACTCTGGGCTGTAAACACAGGAAAAAGTACTTGCTGTCTGCCTGGAGCTCTCCCCCTTGCTCATCCCCACCTCTAAGCCCACTCCCCTATTAGGATCTCCCCTGAACATGGGAGTTTTCACTAGAGGCTGAGAGATGGGGGCAGTCCTTGTTCCTACCATCAACTGGCAGAAAGGAAGGATGTGCCCAGTATCCTGGATCCTAAGAAATGCTTGCTGAGGATGGAGGTTCATTTAGCACCTAGAAGTTCCTGCATCTTGGTACCTTGCTGCTCCCTTGGTAAATCTCAGTGGAGCAGTATACCAGAAGCTCTTTGGGTGTTTGTTAAAATGCCAAGTCCTGAGTCTCTTCCAGCCTTTCTTGATCAGAATTTCCAGGAGATAGGGTCAAAGAATGGGTGTTTTAACCATGTTCTTCAGGTGATCTGTTTCGAGGATGATATTTTAATGACTCAACATAAAAATGTAATGGACGTGTATAGTGCTGTTCCTAAGGGCAAGTCATCACGGAGTCCTGGGGTTTTCCTTACAATCATGCACTGGGAATGACTTCAACTTGCCAAAAAGCATGGAGAGGAATTTGGGGTGCTGTGTGATGCTGTGATGAGTGTCAGACGGAAGCGTCTCGATGCTGAGGTTCTTGACAATCGAAGTTCTTCACAATCATGGGGGAACACTTTTTAAACCTCCTGTAGTTTAGGTGGGTCCTAAAGCATACTGCATTCACTCTACATGAAAGAAAAACAAGATTTTAGGTTGTAGAGCCCCCAGAGCATGTATTAAATTGTAGGAAGGATCAGAAAGAAAAACAAGAAAGTGATGTTCAAAACTGACGTATACCAAAATGTGATGCTTCTCTCCACTGATGATCCCTATCCAGACTGGACTTAGAATTGGGATACATCATTCCGACTTTACTTTCTAGAAAGGAGTTTCTGTTGGTGAAGTACAGTAAACTCAGGCATAACTGCCCACAAAACATGTGAAGACAAAACTAATCAATAAAATTAGAAATTTTGACTAACAATTATAGCTAATGGGAAGGGTAAACACCATTTATTTATTTATTTATTTATTTATTATTTATTTATTTATTTATATTTTTTTACAATAAATTTATTTTTTATTGGTGTTCAATTTGCCAACATACCGAATAACACCCAGTGCTCATCCCGTCAAGTGCCCCCCTCAGTGCCCGTCACCCATTCACCCCCACCCCCCGCCCTCCTCCCCTTCCACCACCCCTAGTTCATTTCCCAGAGTTAGGAGTCTATGTTCTGTCTCCCTTTCTGACATTTCCCACACATTTCCTCCCCCTTCCCTTATATTCCCTTTCACTATTATTTATATTCCCCAAATGAATGAGAATATATAATGTCCTTCTCCGATTGACTTACTTCACTCAGCATAATACCCTCCAGTTCCATCCACGTTGAAACAAATGGTGGGTATTTGTCATTTCTAATGGCTGAGTAATATTCCATTGTATACATAGACCACATCTTCTTTATCCATTCATCTTTCGATGGACACCGAGGCTCCTTCCACAGTTTGGCTATTGTGGACATTGCTGCTAGAAACATCGGGGTGTAGGTGTCCCGGCGTTTCATCGCATCTGTATCTTTGGGGTAAATCCCCAGCAGTGCAATTGCTGGGTCGTAGGACAGGTCTATTTTTAACTCTTTGAGGAACATCCACACAGTTTTCCAGAGTGGCTGCACCAGTTCACATTCCCACCAACAGTGTAAGAGGGTTCCCTTTTCTCCACATCCTCTCCAACATTTGTGGTTTCCTGCTTTGTTAATTTTCCCCATTCTCACTGGTGTGAGGTGGGATCTCATTGTGGTTTTGATTTGTATTTCCCTGATGGCAAGTGATGTGGAGCATTTTCTCATGTGCATGTTGGCCATGTCTATGTCTTCCTCTGTGAGATTTCTCTTCATGTCTTTTGCCCATTTCATGATTGGATTGTTTGTTTCTTTGGTGTTGAGTTTAATAAGTTCTTTATAGATCTTGGAAACTAGCCCTTTATCTGATACGTCATTTGCAAATATCTTCTCCCATTCTGTAGGTTGTCTTTGAGTTTTGTTGACTGTATCCTTTGCTGTGCAAAAGCTTCTTATGTCTTGATGAAGTCCCAATAGTTCATTTTTGCTTTTGTTTCTTTTGCCTTCGTGGATGTATCTTGCAAGAAGTTACTAGCCAATAGGATCCAACAGTACATTAAGAAAATTATTCATCATGACCAAGTAGGATTTATCCCCGGGACACAAGGCTGGTTCAACACTCATAAAACAATCAATGTGATTCATCATATCAGCAAGAGAAAAACCAAGAACCATATGATCCTCTCATTAGATGCAGAGAAAGCATTTGACAAAATACAGCATCCATTCCTGATCAAAACTCTTCAGTGCAGGGATAGAGGGAATATTCCTCGGCATCTTTTTTTTTAAATTTTTTTATTTATTTATGATAGTCACACACACACACACACACACAGAGAGAGAGAGAGAGAGAGACATAGGCAGAAGCAGGCTCCATGCACCGGGAGCCCGACATGGGATTCGATCCCGGGTCTCCAGGATCGCACCCTGGGCCAAAGGCAGGTGCTAAACTGCTGCACCACCCAGGGATCCCCATTCCTCGGCATCTTAAAAGCCATCTACAAAAAGCCCACAGCAAATATCATTCTCAGTGGGGAAGCACTGGGAGCCTTTCCCCTAAGATCAGGAACAAGACAGGGATGTCCACTCTCACCACTGCTATTCAACATAGTACTGGAAGTCCTAGCCTCAGCAATCAGACAACAAAAAGACATTAAAGGCATTCAAATTGGGAAAGAAGAAGTCAAACTCTCCCTCTTCGCCGATGACATGATACTCTACATAGAAAACCCAAAGGCCTCCACCCCAAGATTGCTAGAACTCATACAGCAATTTGGCAGCGTGGCAGGATACAAAATCAATGCCCAGAAATCAGTGGCATTTCTATACACTAACAATGAGACTGAAGAAAGAGAAATTAAGGAGTCAATCCCATTTACAATTGCACCCAAAAGCATAAGATACCTAGGAATAAACCTAACCAAAGAGGTAAAGGATCTATATCCTAAAGACTATAGAACACTTCTGAAAGAAATTGAGGAAGACACAAAGAGATGGAAAAATATTCCATGCTCATGGATTGGCAGAATTAATATTGTGAAAATGTCAATGTTACCCAGGGCAATTTACACGTTTAATGCAATCCCTATCAAAATACCATGGACTTTCTTCAGAGAGTTAGAACAAATTATTTTAAGATTTGTGTGGAATCAGAAAAGACCCCAAATAGCCAGGGGAATTTTAAAAAAGAAAACCATAGCTGGGGGGCATCACAATGGCAGATTTCAGGTTGTACTACGAAGCTGTGGTCATCAAGACAGTGTGGTACTGGCACAAAAACAGACACATAGATCAATGGAACAGAATAGAGAACTCAGAAGTGGACCCTGAACTTTATGGTCAACTAATATTCGATAAAGGAGGAAAGATGATCCACTGGAAGAAAGACAGTCTCTTCAATAAATGGTGCTGGGAAAATTGGACATCCACGTGCAGAAGAATGAAACTAGACCACTCTCTTGCACCATACACAAAGATAAACTCAAAATGGATGAAAGATCTAAATGTGAGACAAGATTCCATCAAAATCCTAGAGGAGAACACAGTGCAACACCCTTTTTGAACTCAGCCACAGTAACTTCTTGCACCCTTTGTTTTTATATAAACTCATGGGCTTTGCAAATATTTTGCATCTTGATGAATAGTTAACACAAAGAGCCCTCCTTCTCATCTCCTCTTTCCAGGCCTCAACTCACTGCCAGTCCATTTTTCTGTTTATTTTGGGAAACTCTGTTTCTTTCTCTCTTGAGTCTGTCAGTTTTGAAGGGTGAGTGCATGAACGACTTGAAATGTGGATCAAGTCTTCCCCGCTAATCACCACCCTCCTGAGATAAACAGAAATACACTCTTGGTAAATTTAGAAAACGGCAATGCTTTTGTGCAGCCCAGCCGGGCAAACAAAAGGCAAACAACAACTGCAAAAATGTCAAGCATATTCACAGTGGAAGCCCAGTTCTTAAAGCTTGTTGCTGAGGTGGCTCCACCAGCTTCCTGTTCTCCCTGTAGGACTGGGAGTCACTAAGTTAAGACCATGTACCAGAGTGATTCTATCCTCAAGACTTACTAACATTCCATTGCAACTTAAATAATACATGGTGCCCAGTTACATTATTTAGGGTGTGCAATGCAGCTGCAGTGCCCTGGAATCTGAGCCGACACTCTCAGGATTGGCAGGAAAACATATTGCATGTTTTGCAATATGGCAATACTCTTCAGCAGGCATTGGCCCCTCTGGAGGAGTATATGATTTGCTTGGGATCACATTTCCCAATGAGAATGGCAAAGACTACATTTCTGAGAGGAGGCATGGCTGTCTGAGGGGACAGTGGAGTAACCTGTACAGGGGGTTGTTCAAATTTGTCCCTTGCCTTTAGAAGGAAAGTATGGTTTTAAAGACGGTTAGAAATATTTTATATTTTCATGCAGAAGTTAGAATTTCTATAGGAAGAGTTAAAAAAAAGAAAACAAATTGGAACAATGCATCTTTGTTATTAATTTGCCTTCATACAAACAAATATTGGATTCTTTGACCTGCATTGCTCATTAGGCCCTGAACTCAGAAACTTCTAGAGTGTGTGGTCATTGAAAATAATGAAATAAAGGAAGGACGTGTGTTGACATTTTGGTTCCTCTCTGGGCCCTCACATTTCATCTTATCTGATGAGTGGAGCTCTCTGCTCAAGTGTGCCTTTTACATTCATCTCCATTGATTAAATCCATCTTCTCTTTGTCACCAGGGACGTGACCATCAGTGGCCAGGCCCGGTAGGTCGCCCACAGGTTTCCTTCATCATGACCAGTCCTAGGACTGTCAGGAACGTGACTTTGGTCTAGTGAAGATGTCCCTTCAGTTCCATTTTGCACGAGGCTGATGACCTGCATCACACAAATATAGTCCTTCCTCTCTGCCCCAAGTGTGGGGTCCTGCTCTGCCAGTGGTACGAGGAAACAGTGAAGCTGGAATAATCTGAATGGACACTTCGTAGTGAGAGAAGGAGTCTATTTCCTCATCTTCCAAAGTAGAATTTGGCTTTCAAAAATGTTTCAAGATTTTAGTGAATTCCACCAAGTAAATAAGTAAAAGCTGCAAATTCATCATCTTAATTTACTTATCACTCAACACTCCTTGCTAATCCAATAAATGGCAGATAAGCCTATATCCTACCATGACTTTTTAAATATTTTTTTATTTTAAATCATATAAAGATGATATTTATGTATGTTTAATATATGGGGCATTATTGTATATTATCCATGAAAAAAGAGCATACACATTAGGATCAAACAGAAATCTAGGATTGCCTGGAAAATCAGAATTTATGGGTTAGGAGTAAGATTAAAATCAAAGCCGATATGCATATTGTGAAATATTTCATCATTGGATATTTATATGAAGACATTCACTTTTATCTGCTCCTTATCATTCTTGCTCTCGTGTTGTCCAATGGGTTAGATGTGGATTACACCTTGTGGGGGATGTACCTTACATGTCACAAATGCTGTGAAAAAACTGGAAATGGATAACATGTTCTTTAAGAAATAAAAGAGAAAACACTAAGCGGTATGTATTGCCTTTCTTAATTCCTTACTATTCAGGTAATAGTAAATAAAATAAATAAAATAAAGTAAATAAAATCATATCTTCACGTTAGTCTTTGATTACATTTGCCTCATAAAGTTAATATGAACGTAGTTATGACGGATAAAATTACTGCATTTTCTACATATTTATTTTGTGTGTAGATATTGTCAGTGCATCTCCTGCCCATCTCTTCATGTTTACCCCAGAGGCAGGACTATTATTTACTTGGCTGAGTGCTATGCCAGTTGGTACAGATTTCTATGATGCTTAGTAATTAGAGACCGTAATTAACAACACGCCCAACTATGGTCCTGCTAACGTGGAATGTGACTTTTAAAATGTGTTGAGATTTTAGTGTTGCTTTATTTATTTATTTATTTATTTATTTATTTATTTATTTATTTATTTAATTTTTTTTTTTAGTGCTGCTTTAGAGTTAGTAAGTATTGATGACAAGAGCTAGTATATGCTGGGTGCTGAACAAACATTAGGTCTGGGGAGGAAAGGCAGGGTGGCTCATCAGGACCCACACACCCTACCTGCTTTCCCTGCGCTGTGCTGGCTCTACAAAAACTCCAGCTGCTCCCAGGCTCCTTCTACAGTAAAATAATATACATATTTCCTTCTTTAGAATCAATGTTGTTTATTATAAAAAATTAAAAACACAGTTTTAAAAAATGGTTTTGAAATCACCCCTAATTCTATTGTTCAGAATTAGGTGTTGTTAGGTAAGTATGTGTCTGTTCACACACACGTGTTTGCATAGTTGCATACACATGTGCATTTCGTGAGATTTGGATCATCATAAACCTTATTTCATAGCTTGCTCTTCTCTTTTGACGTGATCCTGAAGATTTAGAATTGCCTATGACATTTTAGCTTTATTTGCTTAATAAAAATGTCTGATTGAAGTAGAAGTCCAGAAAAGCACACAAATTGTAGGTAATATAGCCTGGTTACTTTTCACAAAGTATATGAGCCTTGAGTGGGGACATGCAGAACTAGAGCCCCTTAGCACCCCGGCCTCCCCATGCCCCTCAAATCACTATCTGCCCCTTCCTCAAAGGTCACCTTTTACCTCAAGATGTGTTAAGATTTTAGTGATTCCTTAAATGATGTGAATTCATCAGGGTGATGTTTCTTATCGCTTAACACTCCTGCTTGCTAATCCACTCAATGATTAACAAAACCATGTACCACCATGATTTAGAAAATATTTTTATGATCTTAAACATGCTGCCTCTACCCTGAGCCCCCTCTTGGAATTGGTTATTACTAATTCCAGGGCTAATTGCAGGCGCAAATGGGGCTGTGGCAGGTATCTCTTCTGACCCACTGGTGCTCATACAGTATCTGAGTGGCTATTGTTCATGCTGTACTGGTTGTCAAATATTTTGAGTATCACCACTGCTTGGAGAATCCTGAAAAAAATGTCATCTCTTCTAGGACTATGTCCCTAAAGTGAGGGGATTGGCTGCCTATTTTCTCTGAAGTAGAGCTAAAATACAAAATTTCTAAAACCCGTGATTATTGCTGAGTCACTTTCTTAAGGTAATTTATATGGAAAAAATTGCTAATTCACTTGCTTAAGAATGAGTCTCTTGCTTAATATAGCTTCTTCTTTACTCTTTTGTCTCCCACCAGTATCCTGAATGGGTACAAGTCATGAGGAAAGGCAAGGGTCCTGAGACCCTTTGGACAGAGCTGTTCAATGAGTGAACACCATACTTTTCACTTCATGGTTTGCTCTCCTTAAACCACCCAGAGCCTGGATCCCAAGACAAGGCAAATATCATGTCATCCATGACTTTTGTAACCTTTACAGAAGCTAGCATTCTGTAGGCATTTCGTAAATATTCAGATCAAACAGGTCAATATTGAGAAAGACAGTATATCGAAATGTAACGAATATTCGCCATCTGCCTGCTATAAGAATCATATTTCTGTGGTTATTTTAGGAGTCAGCAGGAGTCGCATGTAGAATATGCTTGAACTTTAAGTTCTGAACTCTGCAGACCGGTGCCAAATGAGTTTCATGGAATTGTCTCCGACTTGGTTTGTGTGTGTTGAATCACTCTCAAAATATTTATCAGACTCTGGGAAGTTTTTCTGTGTTTTTCTACTTTCCTACAGTAGCTTGTTCTGGAAGTAGGGCTTCTCAAAGGAATCCCCAGCCAGTGCTTACTGCACAAGGGGTGGCAAGTTATTTGAACAGAGCTATCTGTAGCTGCGCTGTCCAAAACCTTAGCATGTGTGGTTATTTACATTTAAGTTATTTGAAAGTAAATAAAAGACAAGATCCATTTTCTTGCCACAGGTGAAGTACTCAGTCGCCATGCATGGCCAGTGGCTACTGGGTTGGACAGTGTAGGTAGAAGGTTTCACTGCTGCAGAAAATTCTATAGGACTGTGCTGACCTGGAGCTAGCTACTTAGAAATGACCTTGATGGGCCAAGGGTGGCCTCTTTTACACAAAACACTCAATCGGTGTTTTCTGTTAGTGTTATGTCTGTATACTTGCCAGCTTCTATTTAGGAACCCTGTAAACCCCAAGGCAGCTCTCAACTGAAAATGGTATTTTGCTGATGTGGTAAATTCATCTCTTACTTCTGCACTGCTGAGAGCTGAAGCAAGCTCAGGGGGATGAGGTGAGAGGGGTCAGTCACAGCAAAATGTCACAGCCAAGGGTGTTCCTCAGAAAGGCAGATGGGGTGACTGCTAAGGGGTGGCTATGAGGTGCAGGTTTACTTTAACTAGTATCTCTCACAGGTGTGCGTCATAAATCCTAGCAGTACAAAAACACTGTCCGTCCTTCCAGGCATCTTTGACCTTGGTCCCTCTGTCAGATTCCAAGCCTGCCCCTGAACTCAGGGACCTTCCACAGTTTACTTAAAGTAGGGCCTAAGTGGTAACATCAACACAGCAGAGATGAAAGGGATAGGGGGGACAGGATGGTAGGAAGGGTCAGGGGTCAGTAGAATGGGATAGACAGGGTGTCAAGCAGGACTGGAGACAGAACATGAGAGACTCCTAGCTCTGGGAAACGAACAAGGGGTGGTGGAAAGGGAGGTGGGTGGGGGGTGGAGGTGACTGGGTGATGGGCACTGAGGGGGGCACTTGATGGGATGAGCACTGGGTGTTATGCTGTATGTCGGCAAATTGAACTCCAGTAAAAAAAAAAAAAAAAAAAAAAAAAGGACTGGGGCAGGACCTGAGGAGCTGTTATTATCCACGGGGCTGACAGGACAGGGAGAGGTGGCTAGACTGGTCCAGAGAAGGCCTCTGCCAGTTGCTGGGCCTTAGGTACAGGTTTGCTGCCAAGTAGGAAACCTGGCAGTGGAGAGTGAGGTGACCAAGACTCCTTCTCCTCACTCTCCTGCTCATGCCTCCCATTGACCAAGCACAACCAGAGCCAGAGGTCCATGGGGTCAGCTGATGTCATCCATACAGGATGGAGAAGGGCAGGAAATGAATGTGGATGGCGGGCAGGTAGGAGATACCCTGCCTGGAGCATCTGGCAACATTTATGAAACAGAGATCAAGGAATGGAGAACGTGTTTGTAGAGTCATGGGCAAAGACGCACGGCTGAGCAGCATTCCACTTTTTCCTTTCCGTAACACTGAATCCACTTACCAAGAGAGGACACCACTGGGGGGAAAGAGAGGAATTTGGCTGCACTGAACCTGAGAGGGTCACGGCTTTGATGACGCATCAGTAGAACAAAGGGATTGATGGGCTCCTGAAGTCTCTTCCTGGTGCTTACCTTCAGAGAGGTGCTCACACACGCATGCACACACACGCACATACACACCTGCCCCGTCCTCACCTGACATGGCCCAGCTGTTGGGACCAAAGCTCCTCTCACGTGAGTGTGTGCAGACATCCCCCGTCCCTGCTGCCCGGGGAGAGAGCTGTGCTCATCTGCAGATGGTAAGTATTTAACTCTCACCCAGTTCAGCCTGTAAATCACACCATGGGCCATGGCCTTGGGTGAGGCACACCCTCCAACATTTATGAAGCGGGCGCTCCAGTGTCTCCTCGGACCTGGGCGAAATGCAGAGTGGGAAGCGGCAGGCTGGGTCCTGGGCTGCAAGCCACCTCACATTTGCCTTCCCTCCTTCGTTGGTGGAGGCATGTTATTTCTAGCAACACAATGGGATTTGGAACCCACGGACTGGTGGGAGGATTTGTGAGAATTACTGCCCAGCCAATGGCTTCAGACTGAGAGATTCATGACCGGCGTCTAATCCTACTGGGCTGACAGAGCAGAAAATGAGTGATTCCAGTAAAGCCTGGGGGGAGAAATACAGCGTAGAATGTATTGATTATATTTATGTTCAGGAACCTTAAGAAAGTATGGTATTTTGTAGGGTAACTTAATTTGAGAACAATTGGTAATATTATGCTTCAATTTCACGGCTAATAAAGTCTGAGGTAGTTCAAATAATAGCAAATTATTGTCTAAGTCAAAAACTGATTCTAAACATTATAGTTGGTCTAGTTTTTTCTCCTTGGAAAATGCAAATAGAGTGGGAATAGGTGAAATGTGGTTAGCCTGAAGGCTTGTGTCCTGGCAGTAGCAGGTGTTGGAAGAATGTGCCCATCCCTTCTGCATCTTCACAGTTGTGTGGTACGTGTGTGTGATGTACATGCATGTGTGTGTGCTATGGTTGTGTTTGCATCTCTCTCTCTGTGTGGTATGTGTATGTGGCGTGCATGGGTGGGTATGCAGTGTGGATGTGTGTGTATGCATGTATGTGGTGTGCACGCATGTGTATGCTTTGTGTGTGTTTGCAGCTCTGTGTGTGTGGTATGTGTGTGTGTGTTGTGCATATGCATGTGTGTGTATGCATATATGTGCTGTGTCTGTGTGTTTCCGCAGGTGCCTGTGTCATGGGGGTTAGGAGAGCTGAGAGAAAGGCAGGGGTCCCAGTTTTTCTTCGCAGGTCCAAGTTTGCATCCCTGTGGTCC